ACTGCCTCAATTTAGCATGATGAAAGGCAAGGTTGTGCAAAATATTTCAGGAACGACCTTGACCTGGTGGCCATACCCCTTTCCATGTTAATTCTCCTAGCGTGCTCCTCGATCTTCATTTGTTGTTCCAAAATCAACCAGAAATGCCCCAAAATATTTTCTTTAATTTTTGTGAATAAATGTGCCTAAGACAATAAAGCACGCAAATAAGTGTCAATATGCACACATGATTCGGGGAACTTTATGCACAAAATAGGCTAAAGTTTGGAGTAAAATATAGTTAAAGAATACATGTTATCAATAAGTATTGGAGAAGAAATGCACTCCAAAATTTTAAACTTTAGTCCCTTAGAAGAATTCTTGATCCAAAAAGGTTGACGACGATAACGAAGATAATTATGATCAACATGTCATCCATCTCTCCAAAGTTGAACATGAGGCAAGCTAACAGTGGCGTTTGGATAGTGTTCCATGTCAATGGTTGAGGGGAGCCACAAGCTGAAGTTACTCCGGGAGGAATAGAGAGATCAGAATTAGTTGGTCCGAAAGGAATAGATGTTCCAACAGTTGTTTTAGAAGGAGTGGAGAAATCATAAGAAGTTGGAGACACTATTGAAATTTCGGAGGCAAGGGAGAATCTAGAAGGAGATGAGCAATTAGAAGAAGATGTTCAAATCTCATCTAATAACATTTTCAATGACAGCAAATTTCGAATGGACTCTATCAACCTGGTGGCTGACTACCTTGAAGGAACCAAGAGAGATGTAGAAGAACCTCACTTAAGTAATTTCAACTGGCCCTATTGAAATATTGAAAGCCAATACGTCATTTGTCCTATTGGCTTCAAAAAGATGTTATGCTAGTCACGCCATGGGTGGCAGTGTGATTGGCTGTTCAGGGGTTGCAATTCACCTTGTCATGCAAGTCATTAGTAGTCACTATTTCGAGAGTGTGCACTGGATCAACTTAATTGCACATAAAAGCGGTTCAACCAAAAGGGTATTAACAAGAACCAAACTTGCAACATTTTAGGTATTTATAGAAATCATACTCCACTCATAGAAAGTGTGGCCTCTATGGGTAAACTTTAAAAAGAAACTAACATACATATCATATTCAGGTAAGGTAACATACATATCCTATTCCGTGTACTATTTTGTAATTCAACAATTACTATTCACTAAAGATAAGGTTAAAAGACATTTAAAATCTAAATATATCAGAGCCAAGTTTTGATCTTAGGATCTATGGGTTATGGGCCCACCACACTTCCACTGCGCCACTCTAATTTAACATATTTTAAGTAATTATTTTATATTAAAAATTGATTTTTGAAGTCTTTCAAATAATAGTGGTCCGCCATGTTGCCTTGAACTTCACTGTCCAAGGATCAGCTGCCACAAAATCCCATAGAGTTAGCTATGTTCCATGAGAACACACCCCTAGAAAGAAAACTAAGAACCAATCTCAGTCATAAAGATCTTATTCATCCGATTTTTTTCAGATGTAAGACTAAGATTAGTTCTAAGTTTTCTCTTAAGAACTTATTCTCATTGACAGTAATAATGTTACCGGTAATAATAATATTATAATAACGCTATGTGAGAGAGTAACAATAGTTGTATTGCTTTTGTCTCAGTATAGAAAATACAGTGTCCTCGCTAGCTGAGGAGAGCCCCATTTATACTTAGAGTCCTAACGGTAACAACATGGGACATAAATGGGGAACCTATGCCTTTAATTCTCTCTCATCAATGGGGGCTTCAATACTGGCTTCAATGACAGTAAAGGTGGCACCTGTTGGAAATCCTAACCGTTGGAGTTCTGCTCGTTGGGTTCCCATGTGATGCTGAGTCAGATGCCCATTTGTGATCCGGGTCGGGTGTCAGCCCTATTATCCTGTCACCAGTCCCCCTACTCCTGAGTCAATGGATGTGTTTGACTTGACTTGGGAGTAAGGCTGAATCTATCTTGATCCTGTGTAGAATCCTGCTTGATTTGGGATATGTGATCTGATTTGATCCTGTGTAGAATCCTGCTTGATTTAGGATATGTGGTTTTTATTTTCCAAATCCCTAATTTGTGCCTTCCAAATCCCTGATTTGTGCTTTCCAAATCCTTTCATGCTTCACTTAACTTTTTTATCTCAAGCTCCTCTCCAATATAAACCCTTGCCTCTGACCAGTTTGAGATCGCCTGTTCATCAACTTCTGCCACAGCTCTGTAAGTCTCCGCTGTCATTACTCTTTTACGATTTATTTATGTACTTAATATATATGTGTATATATGCATGTTTGCCTTCTTTTTCTTTTTCTTTTTTTTTTTTGGATGCGAGGCGCAGCGCCCCGGCCTGTGGCCAAGGCAACTGCTGAGGCACAGCCTCAACCATCTGGCCGAGTCGTCGCCTCGACCAGAAGGCCGAGGCGTGCGCCTCGACCCCCCCCTTTTTTTTTTTTTTTTTTTTTTCTTCTCTTTTGCCTGGCCGAGGCGGACTTCGGCTCTTCGGCCGAGGCACGCCTCGGCCAAAGCTGTGGCCGAGGCATGCGCCTCGGCCACTCGAGTTGTGTCTCGGCCAATCCGTGGCCGAGGACTCGTTTTTTTTTTTTTTTTTTTTTTTTTTCTTTTTTTTTTAATATTCTCTTTTCCTGACAGGTAGTTTCGTGCCCAAGTCTTGCGAGCTTATCTGTAACCGAGGTGAGGTTAGTGTCTTTTGCTTATAATGGATGTTTCGCCCTTGACTGATGTCGGAGAACTTGATTTTGATGAGGAATAACTTCTTGAGCATGATTCCCCTCTTTTTGAAAATTTTCCCCCTCTTCCGTTTGTTGTTGATTCGCCCACACCTAGGCCCCGACTGAAAAAGAAGAAAAAACGCAAGGCCTCATATTCTGTTCTTGATAAGTCCCTGGTCCTGTCCATACGGCCTCAACTAGGGCCACGGGATTGGGATGATATTAGAGGTCTCCTTAGTCCTGACGTTATGACTCTTCCTCTTAACCCTCAGGGTAATATCACCGACCCACCCCTCGATAAGTATTTTGGGGTCCACCTTCTGTTGCTACAGGTTGGGCTGCGGTTTCCCCGTCATATGTTTGTGATAGATTTTATGAACCACTACGAGATAGCCCCTGGCCAGCTTGTTCCAAATGGTCACCAGGTGATTGCGGGCTTTCTTTCTATATGTAAGGACAAAGGGATAGAACCCACGCTAGATCTTTTCCAGGCTCTTTTCATAGTTGGTAGGGCTTCTCAGGAGGGTAAGGGATTTGTCATGGTTTCGAGCAGGCCACATTTCAAACTCTTTGAGGACCGTCCTACTTTTAACAAGGATTGGAAACCCAAATACGTCTTTGTCACCCTTGTGGGTTGTCCGCCTCCCTTTCGTGTCACGTGGGTGACGCAGCCATCAACTCGCACACCTACGCCTTCTCCATCCAAGGTCGCCGAGGGGGGTGACGCAGCCTCCATCAACTCGCACACCCACGTCTGTTACCTTTTCCCCTCAACCCCCCGAGGTGCAAGGAGACACTTCCCTTGAGTCCGGCTCGCGTGTTCGGACCAACTTGATCCGACTGGGAGCGGACGTGCCACCGGGAGCATCGTTAATAAATAAAACTCTTGATGCGGTTGAGTATGCTTCTCGCATTTATCCTCCTGCGGACTTGGAACACCTCGTCACCATGGATGTCAACATGCTGCAAGAGCGTTATCTTCGACACACTTTTGAGGTCAGTTTTCTCATACATATGTTCTTTCCCTGCCCTGGCGTATCTTACTCTGTCTGTTACTTTCAGACCCAGCTAGAGGGAAAGGTCATTCATGCCCAACGACGGCGAGTGACGGATGCGCTCATTGAGGATGTCAAAATTACGGATGTGGACAACAAGAGCCTAAAGGACCTGCTATCGATTCGAGAATGGGCTTTGAGCAAGATGGAAGGCGAGCTTGGGGCGCTAAGGAAGGAGCACTAAGTGCTGTTGGCCCGGGAGGAGGCTCTAAGCAAATTGGCGAGCGAGCTTGAGGCCCTAAGGAAAGAGCGGAGCGCTCAAACTTGCCATAGAGAAGGAGCGGGAGGACCATGAGAGGACTCGTGCTGGCCATGCTGATGCCCATGGACGGGCTGTGGAGGCCTACAAGAGTTTAGCCGAGTTCAGAGAGGACGCGATGCACTATATGAGCACTCCTGAGGCTATCCGGGAATTCCTCAAAACTGGAGCTGGTCAAGAGGCGGTTGAGGCCGAGGCGCAGGTGGCTTTTAACATTGGGATGTATACGAAGCAACAGCAGATTTTTCCAGTGTTGAGAGAGAAGGTTCCAAATTTTGACCCCGTGTCCCATGGTTTGCCTGTCATAGAGAAGAATCCTGACTCTGATGCCCAGAATGAATCCACCGGTGGTGTTACAGATGCTCGTGAGGATTCTTCGGTGGACGAGTTTCACGGCATCGACACTAGCAATGTCCCCAATGTTCCACTCGATCAGATTATGATTGAGGAGCTCTCGGACAATGAGTAGTTCGTAGTCGTACTTGAGATTTTTCCCTTGCTTCGAACAATTTACTTTCCTGTGCAATGAGTAGTTCTAGCTTCGAACAATTTACTTTCCTGTGCTTTCCTATGTTTGAACAACTTGCTTCTCTATGTTCGAACAACTTACTTTTGTTTTGGGATATTCAGAATAAACCAATTACTTCGGAGTAAAATGTTTTTTTTTTCGGCGTTGGTCGAGGCGTGCCTTGGCCATCCGAGTTTTATTTTTTATTTTTTATTTTTTATTTTTTTAACAACATGGGCGGACCACGAGGATATTATTTCAGAAAGCTTCGTAAGAGATGATAACGAACTTGCTTTACTAAATAACATGGACGGACCATGAAAATAAAATATTATTTTAGAGAACTTTAGCATGCAGGGCGGACGGACCGCGATTACCAAGTACTAGTTCCAATGATTACTACTACAGGATATTTAGGGAAAATACTTGATCAAATGTTCCGAGTTTCATACCCGATCGATCATCCTTCCCCCTGTCGTTTTTAACTTGTATGTTCCTGGGCGAACGACTTCTTCCACGGCGTAAGGCCCCTCCCATTTCTTTGCGACTTTTCCCCCTTCAAGGGGTTGGCTGGCTTCCCTTCTTCGCAATACAAGGTCGCCGACTTGGAAATATCGAGGTCGGACTTGTGCGTCGTGGTAGGACTTTAGCTGACGACTGTAGTTCTCCATCTTGCAGAACGCCGCTTCTCTTTTTTCGTCCAAGAAGTTCAGATCCACCCTTAGGTGGAGTTCGTTTTGTTCTGACTCGAACTCCTCTACCCTTCTACTAGGTATGATTACTTCCACCGGGGCCCGAGCTTCGAATCCATAGGCGAGTGCAAACGGGGTCTCTCCGGTGGCCCTTCTTGGTGTCGTGCGGTAGGCCCAGAGGATGCCGTCGAGTTCCTCCACCCAGGCTCCGCCGGCAACTTCTAGCTTTTTCTTGAGGCCGTCGAGGATGGTTCTATTCGCATTCTCCACTTGCCCGTTTGCCTGAGGATAAGATACCGCCACCCGGCTGTGCTTAACGCCCCATCCTGCTAAGATTTCTGAAAATTCTCGTGCCTCGAAGTGACGACCATTGTCCGTGATTACCTGGAAAGGGATACCGAAACGATAAAGGATGTTTTTCTCAACGAACCTTTTGCACCTTGCTGCGGTGATGCTCACCAGGGGCTCGGCCTCCACCCACTTCGTGAAATAGTCGATGGCCACAATGATGTACTTCCTGCTTCCAGTCCCCGTGGGAAGGGCCCCTACCAGGTCAATTCCCCATCTTGAAAAAGGAATCGCGGTGCTTACCGGGGTGTAATTCGTCGCAGGTCGACCTGGTAGTGCCTGGAATTCTTGGCACTTGGGACATCGCTTTGTATACTCGGCACAGTCCCTCAGCATTTTGGGAAAAAAATACCCTTGTAACATGATGCCCTGTGCAATGGTGTATGCTCCTTGGTGCGCGGAGCATACCCCCTCGTGGACTTCTTTCATCACTAACTTGGCTTCATCTGGATATAGACACCTCAGTAACGTGCCGTTGTAGGAGTGTTTGTATAGCTTATCGCCCGAGACAACGTAGCTGGGTGCCCGTAACTTTGTGGAGTGTTCTGACTTAGACAACGTAGGGCCGGCCATTAGGACAGCCCACCTTTACTGTCCGCAGATGGCACCTTACCACAAGACGAGCCAGACGCACGTGGTGGAGGAAAATTATGTTCACCTTTCCAGAAGGCCTTTTTCTTTCCTCAGTATATGTTGAGGACATCTGTATGCATACTGGGGCGTGGCGTCACAATAATTTCCGCAAAAAGGAGATTAAGGATTAAGGCAACATTGTTATTGCTTAGAGACTCCACCACCGTATCACTACTCTTGCCACCTTGATCAAAAGGGAATTTTATAATAACAAAAGGATAAATACACGAAACGAATACATACTAGGAGATTTGGCGGAAACAGGCAGACCCCAGCGGCGGAGATGAAGGCGAACGATGGACTTGGACAAAGAGAATGAGGAAGACAATGAGGGCAACTTCGATCACTCGGCTCCTCCTCTGCGCCAATGCCTCACTCTCACCTCGCGACGAAGCATTCTGGAAGAGACCGACCGCTCACCCATGGCCTCGCCACCGTCAGCCGCTTACTTCCAGGTCGCCATCAACACCAACGCCGGCCAAGATCGAGGAACACCGCCAGCCACCGCCCTTCACGCCATTATACAGATGCAGCCACCGAGTGAGTAGGATGTTGCTCTCCTCAAGGAGTCGGACATTGGCCTCTCTCCGACTCATTCTAGACTTGGATCCGGTGTCAAAACTCGTTTATTGGAAAAAACTAGGTGGGAGCCGGGCGATGCGGGAGAAGCTGCCGGAAGAAAAAGGGTCAAGAAGAAGCCATCGTCGGTGATAGTTCGCTTGACCGTGTCCTTCTTGTTCGCTCTGGCCTTTCCTCTCTCGTTCACCAGATCATTAGCAAGACCAAGAGACTCGGCAGTCTCAGAGTCGAAGCTGATCAGGCGGCACGGTGCAGCGGGAGCAGAGGTTCTACAAACTCTCGACCTCTGGAACCCTCACCGAGCGGTGAATTTGTTTAACAATTCGTTAACGCTATGAGCCCAGCGCGCAAGCCAACTGTGCCACCACCCCAGATGTGTGGGGTGGGAGAGGATCGACTATTCCCATCTCCTCAGCCTGTTTTAGGATGACACTGACGGGATGGGTAAGAGGAGTTAGGTTACGCAGTGGAACCAGGCGAGGCCGTTCATGGTCCTGGCCTTTCCCTGCGACCGGGTGGTTCGAACGTGGTGCGTGGCTGGACGGACCAGCTTTCCCAGGTTTCCCATTTTTCCTGCCGTCCTCCTCATCTTTCTTCTTCCTGTCGACGTCCTCCGCTTCGGCATATAGCTGTCCACATCAGATTTTCGTAAGAACGGGGGTGGTGGGCATTCAGTTGCTTGTGAAAATACCCCAATCTCAAGGCATGGATGAGTATCGGGATCGCCGCCTTGGAGTCGAAGTCATAGACATTATTGACTTCCTTTTTCCATTTGATCAGGAAGTCTTTGAGGCTCTCGCCTCTATCTTGCTTTACTACACAGAGATGAGAGAAGGGTTTCTTACGCTGTATGCTACCAGAGAAGTATGTCAGGAAGATTTTGGAAAACTCCCCAAAGCATTGGATCGACCCGTCCGGGATGGTGTTGAACCAGTCTTGGGCCGTTCCATCCAGGGTAGACAAGAACGCTCGGCACATAATGACGTCCCCTGCCCCGATCATTACCATAGCAGCCTTGTACCTCGTCATGTGGACACGTGGGTCAGTGGCTCCCGTGTACGCCTTGATGGCGGGTAACCTGAAGTCCCTCGACAGAGGTACGTCCATGATGCTTGAGGAGAACGATGCTGTTATCCGTACCTCGGGTTCCGGCGACTGCTCCCGTGCCTCCACCCTTCTTACTAACTCCTCGATCCTTCTCTGTAGCCTCTCGACTAGGGTCGACTTGTCTGGGTGCCGGCGCGGGGCCGGCTGCCGCTCCTCCATGTGTCAGCGTGGGGCTAATTCATCGACGTTCCGTCCATCTGAGTGTCGACGTGGAGTTGGTTCCTCGACGTTTCGTCCACCCAAGTGTCGGTGTGGAACCCGCTCATCAACGCGTCGCTCGCCCGCTGAGTGCCGACGCAGAGCCGGCTCATCGACGCGTCGCTCCGCCGAGTGCCGACGCCGGGCCGGTTCATCGAAGCGTTGCTCATCCGAGTGTCGACGCAGGGCCGACTCGTCACCGTGCCGGCGCGGGGCCGGCCCACGAGACTCGCCCATCCTTTCTATGGGCGACCTTTCCACTTCTCTTTCCTCGTGTCGGCGAGGGCCTCTAGCGGAGGACCCCTCGGCACGTGACTCTGGCCTTTTGCCGAGTGGGCGCCCCATTCCCAACCGTTCCAGGGCAGAGCGGGATGGTCCAGGTTTCCGTCTGGCCGGACCGCTTCTTTGTATCCTGGGCATCCGTCCTCCGTGGGGATTCTACCTCTATTTCCTGAGGTCGTGGCGGGACTACTTGGCCTTGGAGTCCCACTGCCACCTGATTTAGTGCCGCCATCACTGCTTGCTGAATGGTCGCCTGGATGTTCACGACTTGGTTCACCCCTCCATTGTTGAGTTGGTCTCGGAGGTCCCCTCCATTGTTGAGTTGGTCTCGAAGGTCCCCTCCATTGTTGAGTTGGTCTCAAAGGTCCCCGGGCCTCCCGTTGTTGAGCTGTTCTCGGAGGTCCCCTCCGCGATTGTTGGTGAGTTGGTCCCGGAGGTCACCTGAGGCATTGCCATTGTTCACGTTGCGGGAACCATGGGAGCTGCGGGACACCATTCTTTCAAGCTTGCTGTTGAAAGAAGAATGAGTTGTGTGTGTCGTAGCCTGCTTGAGTATTGGACTCAGGCTCTCAATGAAAGCACCAATGACGGTAAATATGTTACCGGAAATATAATATAAGAGTAACGAATAAGAAAGTAACAATAGTTGTATTGCTTTTGTCTTAGTATAGAAAATACAGTGTCCTCGCTAGCTGAGGAGAGCCCCATTTATACTTAAAGTCCTAACGGTAACAACATGGGACATAAATAGGGAGCCTAAGCCTTTAATTCTCTCTCATCAATGGGGGCTTCAATGCTGGCTTCAATGACAGTAAAGGTGGCACCTGTTGGAATTCCTAACCGTTGGAGTTCTGCCCGTTGGGTTCCCATGTGATGCTGAGTCAGATGCCCATTTGTGATCCGGGTCGGGTGTCAGCCCTATTATCCTATCACTCATATAATCCAATACCTATATATATTTTGAATCGCTACAAGTGTGTACTAATTAATTTACCATAATGGATACTGTTTTTAATAGTATATATGTATTAAGCAGCTTGTAGTGCGATGATACCTCAATTCCAATGGGTGCATTGACTCGTGCTTCAATAGGTTGACAAAGTATGTATGAACAGATACTACATTGTACTAGAGTAAGTAGTACTAAAAAAACATATATATTCATGTAATTATTTAATTATTAATTTCCTAATAATTATAATTATAATTCTATAGATCAGCGGTTATTGCAAATCAAGATTGGAATGACGATCATTTATGAAAGGATCGGACTTTGTTGTGGGATGCATAGATCTGTTTTTGAACAAGTATCTATAATACTATTAATTGTATACGCGCACAATTGTCTGCATAAATTAAATGTTTACGAATTATTAGATATAGAACAGAGAACTGCCTGCATTTAAATCACGTACGTACAAATTGTATGCGTATAAAACTGCCTAAATACACTTAAGGAAAATAAATGAAATGACGTTGTGTATAGATATGAAAGACATATTAGACCTAAGAATGAGAACCCTGGAGTCCAAGAAGGCAACGCAGACCAAGAAGGTGACCCAGAGAAAGCAAAGGCAATCCGGACCAAGACAATTCTGACCGATGTAAGTGACCTGGGGCCGAACCCAGGGCACCCAACTAGGCATTGACCCGTTCCCAGGACCTATATACCTTGATTTTAGCTAAGTTTAATTTGTTAAACTTTCCTGGTATAAATAGCTTATGTCTTAAATAATTAGACAAATCATGTTATATTCTTACAACACTTTTGTAGCGTTATCCACTCAATATTATTACTACAATTATCTCTTGATCTTTGTCTATTTTACCACTGTAAATTATACAAATTTATTGATTCGTAGCGGGGTCGATTTGTTTCATCATGATGAATGAAATCATATAAGGAAGTTAATTCATAAAATTCATAAGGAAAATAAATGAGACATGTTGTAATCTATTTGCTCAAGCATAATTAATCAAAGGAATTGCAGAGAGAAAGAAAATAAGTGACAAAGCAAGAGTATAATTCTTTATCCAACTTCTTCATCAAATACAAGGGGTACATCTCCATATGTATAGTGAAAGATTACAAATCTACATAATGAGCTATAAATGCGTCTGTTACAGACGTTACAAATATTGTCCACTAAAAACATTTTATAACAGATAATATATATATATATATATATATATATATATATATATATATATATATATATATATATATATATATATATATATGAATCTCCCGATATGCATTTATGGAAATCTCCCTAAATGCAATTAATGTGATTGTAATGGAATTACATTGTGAATTTGTGATGATTTTATGAAACCAGGTTCCATCATGAACTGGGTAGGAACCGTAGGATATACAAAATCGTGATAATAATAATAATAATAATAATAATAATAATAATAATAATAATAATAATAATAATAATAATATTATTATTATTATTATTATTATTATTATTATTATTATTACTATTATTATTATTATTATTATTATTATTATTAGGAGCCTTAATTAAGTTCAATAGATTATATACAACTCAAGATTACAATTCAAGAAACTGATAAATAATAAATAAAGGAGCTAGGAATAATGGCAAATTAAATGGTGGACCATGAATAAATTTATATTTCTAATATATTAAATGTACATTATTTGTGTACTAAATGTTTATTATTTGATAGTATATACCATATATGCATTTTCCTCCACTATCTTGCCCCTTCTTTTTTTTACCTCCACCATCCTCACCAGCCTC